TAACACTTTCACACGTTCTCCCGCTGTTTTATTGTCCTATGCCACCCACCTCACTTAAGCTATTTATACCGTGCTCTACACAAGATGCTCACACCTCCTTAGAGACGGGGAAGACAGACAAGGCATCTGATGGTTGCGTTATGACAGCTCAACTGATTGGATTATCTTGACTGCTGGAAGCTGCCCCCACAACCACTGCTCTCTTGCAAGTTGCAGAGAGAGGCGGCGGTTGGGTTGAAGAAGGGCAGAAGATACGTGCTTACCTGCTTGGTGGCAGATGGAGCTGGATTCCCTCATCTCCCTGTCACAGCTGGGCAGACTGACAGCTAACAGCCCTTCTCCCGTCGGCTGGAAAAAACACAGGGCCTAAACCATGAGAGGAGGAGGAGGAGGATCCAGGCTCTTGCTCCACTGCCTTTGCAAAATCCCAGGACCACGACATAACCATGACAACTACCTCTCTGCAATCAGGGGAGTGAGTACTAAAAGGCAGTTGCGGCCAGCCATGAGGAATGGCAGACAAAAACAGAGGTAGAAAAACAACAGGAAGGGGGTGACTTCGCAGTGGGTGATGCGAAAATAGACCCTGCTGCCTCGCACCACTGCCAGGGAGGCACACTCACCAGTCGGGGACACCTGGACCAGCCGGTCCTCTCTCAAATGCTCTTGCTATTCTCTGCAGCCCATCAGCATGACTCTTGACAGAAAAATTGCCAAATGTAATGCACTTGTGACTTTGTTAATTTGCACCTGTATCTAATTTCAGCCTTGCTAGAATAACAGAGCCACTCCGTAATCAAAACAGGAGGGGAAAAAAAAAAAAAAAAGCCAGATCTGCCAGTCACAGGCAGCTGCAGGGGGAACTGCCCCCACTTCACAAAACGACCCCAGGCAAGAGCTTCACATGAAGGTCACAGCAGGACGCCAAGGATTCCCTGAGAAGGGACAAACCTGGATCTCACTCCTGGGACTCGGAATCAAGCCGGTGGCAGTTCACAGAGGCAGCTGGTGGTGCCTTGCTCCTCCCTGCTTTCCCAGGCAGGAGTTGCTTCAGCCTCCTAAATGCCTCCGTGCTTTCATTTCAGGAGACTGTTCTGAGCCATTTACAATTGTCTACTCATGGCTAATGGCCATGACTTTCTGGATGCCAGAGGGTGCCACATTTCATCATCGGGGAAAGCACTAATGAGAAAAAGTCCCTCTGGCCCATGTTTGTGGCTCATTAGGGTACTAGTCACAATGCCTCAGTTTCCCCTCCAGGCTCTGGAGAGCCACAGTAGTTAGAGTTCATGTGTCATTTTTAATCCTCTCCCTCAGTCTCTGCAAGGGTTTAGCTCTTCCGGGTTATTCAAGTCTCAAACTAAGAGCTTTAAGAAAGTTAAAAACCCTTTGCTTTTGGCAGGTCTCCAGGACCCTCACCCACCCTGCTGCTGGGGTGCTCAGCCCCCTCAGCACCTGGCCACCGTGCCACGCTGCCCACTGGCCCACAGGCCCCTTCTGGGTTGCCCTGCAGGACCTTGGGCTGGCCTCAGCCTGCCCGGCCAGGGCCAACAGCCACCTTTCCTTCAGCACCTGATGCAGAACTGTGCAAAAATGTTCTTTCTGAAGGAAATAGCAAGGAAGAGCTATTTTTTTCCCCTTGATGCCAGCTTCTGTGTTCAGTTGTCCCCATAGGGGTCCTGTCTGCCTCATTTTCTGCTGTCCCCTCCCTTCATGGGTCCCATTGCACCCTCTCCAGACACCCCTTGCATCCTGATATCCCTTAACCGAGGTGCAATCCTACCCCGCCACACGAACCGCTGTTGCAGTAAGCCCTCTCAGCCCATACTCAGCCTTCTTCCTACACCTTCCCTTGATGGCGCCTGCTCTTCCTTTAGCACAATCAGCCAGCTCCTTCCCAGTGAGAGCAGTGACTAACGCTATCCACCTCCTCCCCGCGGGGAGCCGAAGGCAGTACAGACACACACACTGCACACAGCAGCCTGCACCTCTCCCCCTTGAATGACCAGCAGCCTACGACAGAGCTGCACAGAGAAAGAAAGTCAGGACATAAAACATTTTGAGATCTTCAGATGAAAGGGGTTAGTACGTCATTAACATCAATTTCTCGGGCTGAGACACATATATTAAGCACAGGACTGGGAATATGTAAGTCTGATGTTTTAACCTTGGCTTTCTCACTGACCCCACATCTCTAACCCTGGTCATGCATTTTAATACTCTTGCCTCCATTTCTTGTCTGCAAGGAGGCTGATCCTAACTGCCCTGCCTTGCAAGGCTGTTATGGTTCTGTAATTAGGTACAGCCTGCAGATGACTGTAAATATAAAGGGCAATATGTAAGCATTATCTATTTATAACAGCCTCAAAACCCAGTGTCCTGTGGTAGCAGGTATGCCACAGCAACGTGCTCACTGAGGAATTCAGCCCTTCCACCTCATGGCCTTGCTTCTCTCCATGTGAAAGTGGTCTCTTGGGCAGTCTGCACAGGGGATATCTACCCATTTCAGCTGAAGCTGAAGGTTCAACCAAGAGGAAGGAATTTCAGATGCTGTCTCGGGATGTCCTCACACCGCAGAGGAGTTTATCCTGCTGTTATCCAAAAGGTATTCTCTGCACTAGACTATATTCCCAGGGGTCGGGTTGCTCACTCATCAAGGGAGAACGGTGCAAAGCACAACCATTGAATCGTGCTGATCATCCCATCGCTGCTGAAATTTCCTCCCAATGGTGCCCTGCAGCAACAGAGCTCGGAGAAAAGTCTGGGTGAAGGGTGTGCACTTCTGTCTTCAAAGTCACAGCCGAAGGCACTGTTCTTGGCCTGCCACAGGAGTGCAAAGGCCATGAGCAGACCATGCCAGGATTCACACCAAAATCATGAGCGAGAAAGACTACGGGGAGCAAGGCAAACTCAGAGCACTGGGTGGTGTCGAGGACTTTCGTCATATTGCAATTGGCTCCAGCAAACCCTCTGCTTTGGTCAGCTGAAAAACTGTTTCATATTCACAGTCCCAGTTGCTGAAATTCTTTCCTTTTGTCGCTTCTGTGCCACGTAGCCTTTGTGTGATACACCCTTTCTATGCTTAGAACAAACAACTAGCACAGAGAACCTGGAGTTCTCTCAAGCCACTGTGACTCATAACCAGGTAATTACCTACAGCCCTGCTCCTATGAGACAGGCACCTGCCTATCGGCTGGCATTTGTCACTTCTCTAGCTTTTAGTCCTAGTAGAGAGCCCAAGCCCTGAATGCACCAGGGAAACCAAACATCTAATCCCTAGGGGTGGTGCCTCCAGGGCAAGGTTGAAGGCGTATTAGCGAAACAGAGTGGGAGAGCTTTAGTTTATCTCGGGATCCAGAGCTATCAATCCAGCGCTGCGGTGGGGAGATGCAAAATCTTTAATTAACTTTTGTGCGCTTGCTCCCAGTGCTGGTGGAGGTGGGTGGATGTGATTGTCGCTCAAGGGAGGATTCTCCCCTCCCCCTGCTTTTGAATTCTCAGGCAATTAGTGCTCTGTATAGAGCAACATAAATAGAGCTCCTCAAACCTGGAGGCTTTACTTTGGTTTTGTTTTGTTTGGGGTGGGTTTGCCCTCCTACCTGTTCTATCAAATACCAAGCAATTTATGGACCTCTTTGCTTGTGTTTGCACACCCTTTTTGCATCTTAACTGACAACCTACATGCTTTTTTAATTAAAATTTTATTGGCATTTCCATAAGTGATATACCTACTGTAAGTGAGCACAGTTCAGTACAGATAACATGTGGTTTGTTTAGCTATCTTCCAGGAGATTATTTCTGTTATCATTGTAAATTGATTATTGTAATTATTGAAAGAGAGAGGGCTGAGAGAGAGAGAGCATACAGTAGGAAAATGGGGGGGAATTAAAAGATAATAATAAAAGATAATAACAGTCTCCTTTGTTCTTGTTTCTTTCTCTTGACAACCTACTGTACATGCTAAGCTTCAGTTTAATGTTCGAGTCAATCCCTCCTGTTGCTAACACACCCCCATCAATAACAGAAGGTCTTTAAAGCCTAGATGCCTGCAATTAACTTCAGTACCAAAGAAAGCCAGGAATTGTCTCTCTTGTTAGTAACACCAGCCCTGTGAGTATCTCAGAATGCTTCTTTTCACCTCTTTATTCCGAATTCAGTTGACATTTTTAACCCTCTTTAGAAAATGTATGGCTTTAACATACACAAAATTAAAGATAAGCATTATGTATGCAGGGGATGTGTGTGTGTGGGGAGAGAGTTTATACACTGTACCGATAACCAAACTGTCCTGCCATCGCTTTGAGGACAAAGTGTGAGATGGGAAGGCAGAAACCCCTGAAGGCCAGTCCCAATGCTGTTGGTAAAACACTGTGCTACCTTGCTCTACTCAGGAGGGACATACGTTCCTGAGGCAGTGAACATTCCTTGCATGTGTCAAGTACAAGACAATCTGCAGACACTGGGCATCTCTGTAAGGCTAGTACTAGCCGTCCCAGTTGACGAGGTTTTTTTCCCACACTTCAGAGAGACACTGACCAATGTTTACAACAACTGGAGGAGGATATCAGAGAGCCACATCTTCCTCATCTTACTTTTTGCTGCAGTGGGAAATGGCAAAACTCTCATATAATTCAGATGGTGCTGAAAAGGTCACTTTTTTAGATACTTTGATCCAGGCTACTAAGCCTTTCAAGGATTGAGACTTTGAACTTGACTATGTATTCTCTTAAAACGTGACAGGAGGGGATGGTACAACCAGTTTGAGGTCTTGAAGTGTTCTGGGCTGCAGCAATGTCTCCCACGCCCTGATGACTTTGTGCTCAACTGGGTCAACAGAAAAGAGAAAAGCATAGGTCCTTTGAGACAGCGCTGCAACCAACCTACATTAGCTGTATGGCTGTATGTTTACATCTCTACTGACTGGGTATGTCCCACCAAATCATTCCCACCAGACTGCAACCCACCTTCTCAGCAGGGGCCAGCAGGGGTTCATGGTCAATAGAGTCAAATGCTGCAGAGAGTTACAGCGGGAAATCTGTCCTCTAGTCATCAAAAGCAGAAGTGCCACAAAAGCAGTTTCATCTAATGTCCTGGCCTGACTCCAGCCGGAGCCCCTGTGTCATTCCAGGAATACTGTGAGTGCCAAACCTCACTCGGGTCGGGGGGGTCAGTGGTGAAGCTATCCAGCTATCAGCTCTTCAGATGCTTCTCAGAAAATCCTCCCAACAGACCAAGCCCCGCGAAACTGACCTGAAAAATAAAAACCAAGAAATCAATGCTGTGCTCTTTACAGTTTCTTTGTGGTAAATAAATACTGCATTACCTACACCGTGCTCACATTAAAGGATTTTCTTCACTATGGGTAGTTACTCACTTCAGCATATTAGGCGTTTGCTTCCCCTCTTTGCCAGAAGACCTGATTTGTGATGTCACATGAAACTTCAAAATGAAGTACAGGTCTCCATCCCCTCACACAGAAAAGGAGACTAACAAGCTGCATACTCTTGCCCACCTCTCCCTGGGAGGGAGAGCTACAGCCCACGTTATTGCTTTGTAATGACATGACTATTTACAGTTGCAAAAGTTCTTGCCAGGGTTTCTCTAGTGGGGAGAAGAAAGGCAGGACTTAAGGCTTTGAAGGTCAAAACAGAATGGACAAACCGAGAGACTATTTTTTTTCCACTGTGGGGGAAATGGGGAAAATAAGCTCCTTGAGATCATCTGTGAACATAAAAAAGCAATAGGGATCAAAACAGATGATTTTCATTTGAGGGGTAGAAATCTGGAGATCAGACTCTAAATATATTAAAGAATAACCAATTTTACCATGCCATCATTATAAAGCAGTGCCCATAGTCCTGACCTGCATGTAGGAAGCAAATAAATGAGAGAAACTGGAAGGAAAATACTTTAAATTAACCCTGCTTTCTCAAACAAGCAAGCAAACAAATAAAGAAGCCCTGAACAGTCACTCACTTCTTGGATGCAAGCTCACGTCAACTTTTATTTTGCTGAAATGATTCACTTGTTTGTATTGCTTGCCATTTTTATTATTTTTTTTTTGTCCCTGAAAATATTGTAAAAACCAACTAATAAGGGTACAAAATAGTAAGTTTTATGTACATTGCAGAAGCCTGTATATGATGCCATTTGTTAAGCTCTCTGCCGTTCCCTCAGCAGCGTGTCAGGTTTGTCTAACACCCAGCCCTGGAGTTACGCTTTTACGGCGCCCGATTTATAGCGTTATAAGTTTAATATAGCGCTGCCTTGTAAAAGGGCTTTCCCCGCCGCCCCCTTAATGAATATTTTAGACCCCAGGGAAAGCACCCCAAGGGCACAGTGATTTACGGAGCGCCCACAGCGCAGCCTGGGCTGGGGGATGCTCGGGATGGGCCGGGCGGCGCCCCGGGGCAGCGCTGCCCCCTGCCGGACGCTTGGCATCGGCGACTCCCGCCGCCGGACCCGGCCCCGGCCCCGGCCCCGGCCCCCGCCGTGTCGCCTTCCGGGGCAGCCGC